ACCGGAAACGCCAGGGCCTTCCCAGCCAATCCTTCCCTTCTCCTGAAACCTGGCTGGCAGAGGTGTTTGCTCAGCACACCCTTCTGAGCTAGTGAAGTCAGGCTCCAAGTTTCACTAAATGCCACCCTGCTACTGAAAGGCACTTGGTTTCAAAAAGTCACTAGAAAAATACTAATTTCTACACTTTCCAGTAGGCATCAGCACCTTCTGAAGCAGTTCACAGGTTCTGGAAAGTAGTTAAGAAAACGTTTTGGTGGGAAAGCGGAGAAAGTGGATTTGGATGACTGCTGGAATATATCTGAGCTGGTAAAACACACGGATCAGCCAGTGACAAAAACACTACTGGAGCACAGGATGAGGAGGGGAACATACATCTACACTGAGCATATGGTGTGAGTCATGTCCACATACAGTTTTGTGGGAGGACAGCTCTTTCGCTGATCACTTTCAGCAGCAGTGGGAAAAAACAAAGACAGATAAGGCAGAGGCAGCTGCTGGCACTACAGTTCTCTGGCTGGTACCTTCAGAATAATCACAGTGGTCCAACCTCTGCCAGCAAGTCTATCCTGCATTTCTCACTGGGGATGCCAGTAAAGTTGTGTTAGGATGAGCCACAGGGAAGGAGTGGGGATGGGGAAAGCAGAAAGAATTAACTGCCTTATAATTGGAACCAGTACAGCAAGGCTCAGGGTTTAAAGGGTAAACAGCAAGGGACAGAAAGCAACAGTGCTGGTTATGCAGAATGAGTTCCACAGCTGTGGTGCTTTGGGGAAGAGAGCATACTTTGCACAAAGCTGTTTAAACTGTAGCAACTTCTCCAAGATACAACCTTAGATCCCTTAATTTAAAACTCACGATTGGAATTATTCAAATACTCTCCAGAATAAATATCTAAACGAAGTGGCAGTGTCTTCTGAGATTCCTTCAAAGGCATAGACACAAATGAAAGTGGTAATTTTAAAGAAAAGTGATTAAAGAAAGGAAGTCTCTCCAAAATGCCTGTACATTTTTCTTTCCTTCTTCAAGCAGTAAAGGACAGAAAGAGTGGAAGTCAGCAGGAGTCAAGCTCAACATCCACAGCTCAGCAGAACTGACAGCACTGCCAGCTGGCATAAGAGACGGAGCAGGAGAAGCCCTGACCGAACTGCGCTGTGAGCACATATCCATGGACACCCAGAGCTTTTACAAAACCGTGTCACCTTAGGGGCATATTTAGCTCTTGTGCAAGAGTGATTTCAAAAACAAAGATTTCAGCACTTTTCTAGTTCCTGCCATACATCCAATCAGGATCCTCTGACTACAATAAATGGCTACGTTCCCAGTGGAACGATCAGAAAACGCCAAAGCCCTCCGGTATCCATAAGTAACGCTGTGCTGGAGAGATTATGAGCGCTCTTATAGCTTGAGCTAACATCTGTATTCAGCGTTACTGCCAGAGCCATCATTGTGCCTACTCCGGAGACATCCCTGAGTATCTTCTGGTTTCTACTGCAGATGTGTTTCAAACTGATCTGCTACTCTCTCTGAATGATTTTCCGATAATCAAGTGAAATAGTTAATGAGATAGGAGGGACGTAGAGGGCCTTTGCAGTAGCAAATGAAAAGAGAAGTAGACAGGGAAGAGTCTTATCATTTCAAGACTATCCATATTCTGACATATTCCTATTTTCAGTGCTGTGCTTCAGAAGGACATGAAGTAGGCAAGGCTAAACCAGGAAATAGGATTGGCAAGAAATTCTACTCTAGTGCCCTCTTTTACCCTCCCACAGAAGGGTACGACCCTATGTTAAGTATTTAAACATGTTTCTCACTGGAAATCTGTTGGCATTACCTCATGCTTTTTGTAGGTTCTTCCACTAATTACGACGAACATTTATTCCACAGTATATTCCACAGGCATTTCCTTCAGAAGCTTGATAAATTATGCATTAATGGAACAGATTAAAATTCCTCACATGCCAGACTCCACTTAGGACTCCACCTTCAGTTACTGCTCCGTAACACACTCTTTGTGTTAAGTATTTACAGAGGTTTACTTAACTGCAGTAACTGCAGGGATAAATAAGATAAGGGCTTTTTACTATTATTCTTACACAAATTCAGCTGCTTTTTCCAGTCTGAGAGTCTTGTCCTGCTTGGCTTACAGGATTAATACATGTACTGGAAAAAGTAACAAAGTAACTGTACTGACAATTCTTCACAAGAAGACATTACACAGAAACCATCTGACAATTCCAAGATGAAAACAGATTCAAAGACACCATAAAGAACTCAACGAACGCAATTAACTTTGCATTAATTAATCTTCAGCAAAAATAAACACATACACATTTAAAGACACATCTGAGAACTCCAGATTACATACTTTTAAAAGCAGCTTGCAGATTTCATATTTTCCTTTTGCTGCTGCTTCATGCAGAGGAGTGAATTTCCACAGGTCTGCCACGTTGACAGAAGCACCGTGCCTCACCAGGAGCTCAGCCACTTCGTAGTGTCCATAAGAACAGGCGTTGTGCAGGGGTACTAAGCCACTAATCAAAGAGAAAGTATTAATAGCTGCAGAAAATAAAATCCAATCTGCAATCATATGAAGTTCAGTAGATAAAACTTTCACTTGTACCAGATATTATTGGTGTATTTCAGTCTCTCCACTTTTCATGGCTTTAATTCCCTGCTATTAAAACATCGATTAAAACTTCATTATCCTCCTTCAGTTCTCATCCATGAGACTTTTAAATATTTAGCAAGCACCAGTGTTACTACTTCGACGAGCAAATAAGTTCAACACTGTTAACAGCAGCCAAAAAATATACTGCAGGAATCACTGATGTTCTAACTTTGGATATTTGAGTGTAAATTTCAGAAAAGGTATAATACTATACAATGGATTTGAAGTATAGTTATTAGTGAGCATTGCACACCTGATAGATTCAGAAAGATACTCAAATAGGAGTGCCTGAAAATGCAGCATTGGAAATGAATTATCCTCCACCCTGAACCAATATGCTGGAATGAAAGATCAAAAATAATCACACTATTCTACATCATTGCTTTGAAAATAATGCAAAAGCAGTTTGTCTCATTTAACTGAATATTAACTGAGTTAATAATGAACTTAATAAAAGCTAACTAAAAGAATTAGAAAAATGCAATTCAAACCTAATTTTAGATCATCTTAAATAACTTAAAGGCTGCTTTTAAGCACAACAAAGTCTCTAAACTGGGCAAAAGGGGGAAGGAACATGTATTACAGTGCCAGATATGTACTAGACAACAGCTTTGCCAGAAAGCTAACTAGGAATTAATGGTCCATACATCTCTCTACAGTGATGTCAGGATCACTGCAGAACAAGAAAAAAAGCAGAGAGAAAAATTGTCAAGAGAAAAAACATCATGATTACACCAAAATTCAAAGCAAAACGAATAGAGGGGGGTAGAAGTCTCACTCTAACACAAAACAGAGGAATTTATCATGGAATGAAATGTACCCTTTATCTTTGGCATGCACGTCTGCCCCATGGTGCAACAGATACTCCACCACTGATACGCGGTTATATCCTGCAGCAAAATGCAGTGGTGTTGAATGACGGCCTTCCAAATCTCTACAATTCACATTCTGAGGGCTGCAAAGTTGCTGCAAAGATGAAAAGAGAAACCAAAATCTAGAAGAAAACTAAAACCAAACTTACAGCCTCACCTCCCAACCAAAAACAACAAAAAAAAAAGAAAAAAAACCCCACAAACTACCATCCCCAAACACCTCAACAGAAAATTTGATCCATTTATTATTTATTACAAATTTTTAGAAGTTAGGTTTCGGGAAATTTCTTTCCACTTAGGTGGTTAAAAAAAAAAGCTGCTATAAATTTATAGATGAAAGTACATCTATAAAAAACAAGACTTAAATGATGGAAGCACTATAAAAACACTGACTGGAGTATAGGAAATGTGATGCCCATCTACAAAAAGGTCCAGAAGCAGGACCTGGGGAACTACAGTCTGTCAGTCTGATCCTGGTGCCAGGAAAGCTTAGGGAGCAGATCATCTGGAGGGCTATCATGAGGCACATACAGGAGAAGCAGGTGACCCAGCCTGGTCAGCACGGGTTTAGGAAAATCAGGTCCTACTTGAGTAACTTGATTTCCTTCTATCACAATGTGATGAGGGAAAGGCTGTGGTGCTTGGACTTTAGTAAAGTCTTCGATACTGTTTCCCACAGCATTCTCTGGGAGAAACTGTCTGCTCATGGCTTGGATGGATGTACTCCTTGCTCGGTGCAGATCACGTCGAGATGGGTGGGAGTGTTGATCTGCTTGAGG